TCCAACATCTAGAAACAAAGGTGTTGATGGCAGCAGCACAGCTGATATTAGTAGATTGTTTTGAAATTTATTTTCTTTTGGAGGAACTTATCATGAAATTATGATGTATAGGATTGTTTTTAAGTGTGAACCATTCTAAAAAATGTATAGATATAAGAAAAGAGAAACTATATTTTGATCCCATAGTAATTCTTTTCTTTTTGCCTTTTTTGCCCATCAGTTCAACTAAACATGTTTATTAAGTATCCGTTTGGCCTTCATAGCAACGCTCATAACTTGCAATTTAACATTCTGCTTTATGAGTTTTAGTTTTATTCAGATCAATTATGAAACTATAATTAAAATATTGATCCTCTAAATGATTAATAAAGTTTTCAGTGTGAGCTAATGTGAGCTAGCTGTAGCTTCCAGGCCGTTAAAGCAGAGATGATTTAAATCCTCCCTCCGGCAATCAGCGGCCTGAACGGCTCACCTGTGTCCTGCCGGAACTGCTTCAAGCTTGGGATGTCGATGAGGTAGGGGGACAGGCTGGGGTCCGACTGTCCGAGGCAGATGCTGGTTGCTCCGGCTCCTCGGTGGCCGCGCGCTGACAGACACCGCTCGATGTAGGCGCTAACCTGGCCGCTGTAGGGCCGCCAGTAGCCCAGGTCGTCCTGCCACTCCCACACCGCTATCATGGGCTGGGACTGTCCCACCGACCCAGGGGCGGTGGTAGCGGACACGGACGGTCCGTTCCTGGAGCCGTTCACCCTGGCACAGGAGCCAGACACAATCGCCATGTTCGCTAACACAACGACTGGTTGGTTAGCCGTTTGTTGCTACGAGGAAAACAATGTCCGCAGCGAGGCTAGCTGGGCTCCAGAAAACACTCCATTAGGAATGATTAACAGGCCTGGGAGGAAGTTAGGAGGTGGGGATCAAACGGAGCATGGCCTGAATAAAAACATCCAAGACCATGTTGACAAAGCTGGGCTGTTCAGAACGGTTAGCTTAAGAGCAGAAGGGTTAACAGGATCCTTCCTCTCCAGCTGCTGCGTTCACGGTCCATCCGAAATACTACTGGTGCATTCAATTGGCGTTAGAAAGTCGGAATTTAAGGGACCGTGCTAATTTACGGCGGTGCATTAAGGCCAGGCTACAGATTATTATTATTTTTTATTTCATTTCAAGAAAATAGTCGTACTATTATGAGAATAAAGTCATTAAATTACGAGAATATAAAGTCGTAATATTAGGAGAATAAAGTTGTATTTTATGACAACTCTTCCAAGAATCCCTTTCTTCCCTAAAATGAGGAATGTGGAGCATCATGTGAAGTTATACTTTAGCATCGGTTTGACAAATCAGCAGCATCAAACTGGGCAGGATGTCAAAGTGGACTCTGGCTGCTGATTGGTGGAGCTGGTCGGCCGTCATCTGTGGGGCGGAGCTCCAAGCTTTCTTTCTGAAAGGGGTTGTTGTATGATGACTTCATTCGCGTAATTTTTCAACTTTTTTCTTGCAATGTTGCAATTTTATTCTCATAATGATACGACTTTATTCTCTTAATGTTGCTCCTTTTTTCTCGTAATGTTGCAACCTTTTTCTCGTAATGTTGCAACTTTATTCGCGTAATGTTACGACTTTATTCTCGCAATGTTGCGCCTTTTTTCTCGTGATGTTGTAACTTTATTCGGGTAATGTTACGACTTTATTCTCGCAATGTTGCGCCTTTTTTCTCGTGATGTTGTAACTTTATTCGGGTAATGTTACGACTTTATTCTCGCAATGTTGCTGCTTTTTTCTCGTAATGTTGCAACTTTATTCTCGTAATGTTACGACTTTATTCTCGTAATGTTGCGCCTTTTTTCTCGTAATATTGCAACTTTATTGTCGTAATGTTACGACTTTATTCTCTTAATGTTTCCCCTTTTTCCTCGTAATGTTGCGACCTTATTCTGGTAATATTACAAGTTTAATCTCATAATGTTGCGCCTTTTTTCTCATAATATTGCAACTTTATTGTCGTAATGTTACGACTTTATTCTCTTAATGTTTCCCCTTTTTCCTCCTAATGTTGCGACCTTATTCTGGTAATATTACAAGTTTAATCTCTTAATGTTGCGCCTTTTTTCTCGTAATGTTGCAACTTTATTCTCGTAATGTTACAACTTTATTCTTTTAATGTTACACTCCATTCTCGTAATGTTGCGAATTTATTCTCGTAATGTTCCGAATTCATTCTTGTTATGTTACGTCTTTACTCTTGTAATGTTGCGACTTTTTTCTTGTAATGTTATGACTTTATTCTCATAATGTTGCGACTTTGTTCCCGTAAAGTTACAACTTTATTCTCGAATAAATATACTCCGACGTGCTAACTAATATATTCTTCAGAATTAGTTCTGAAATTGTTGCACTTTTAAACACAAACTGGACATATGCAGCCAAACAATGTTGCAAACTACATGAAGAGCGATTCATTAACAGATATGCAATTCAGAATTGCATTACGATGTTATTACTGAGCTTTTGCTTTTATTTACTACTACTGCACTATGACGTAGCAATATTATGAGGCGGAAACTCGTCCCAAAGCAGAAGTCAGATTTTTTGGGGGGAGGTGTTCTTGCTCTATTTTTATTATATTATAGTTATTAACTTTTTTTTTTTTTTTTTTATTCGTGTAACTTCAGTAATTCCCTGACCCTTCCTCCCACAGTCCAGAAACATGACTGTTAGGTTAATTGGCTTCTCTAAATCCTCCTTAAGTGTTAGTTTGTGTGAATGGTTGTTTGTCCTGTTTGTCTCTGTGGTGCCCTGCAATGGACTGGAGACCTGTCCAGGGTGGACCCCGCCTCTCGCCTGTAGACAGCTGGAGATAGACACCATTTCAACCCCAGCACGCAAAATGGATGGGAAACAAAATAATATTATTAAAAGAAAAAGTGTTATGTAAATTTATAGCATACACAATAACCCTTTTTTCGCCTAGGCGATGGCTATTTTCAAATTTAAGAATTAAATCATGAGGAAAAACTGTTAAATAATGTAATACAGAATTTACAGATAGAGTTTGCCTCGGGGGTTCTTCACATTTCACCTGAAACATTTTAGCAATGACCGCTACAATAAAACCATCTATCTGGTAATAAAACGTAAAGATTGAACATTTCTCAGACCATAACGCACATTTGTAAGGACATAATTTATTGATGGGATTATGGCAGAGATCAGATTATCCTTAAGGTAGACTACAATCCCCTGACATCTATGTAAAAGGCATCCAAGCTCTGAAAAAAAAAAAAAAAAAAAATTCAACAAGTTTTGTAAAAAAAAAAAAAAAGATTACCCTCAACATCTTTAAATTTAAAGGTTATAAAATGTGCATAAAGTCTGAATTATCCTGTTACACACATCCTTCTATCTGTCCTCACATATCTATGAACAATTCCTGCCCTCAACTGGAGATAAACATGTATGACATGATCAGCAGCGTATGTACTGTAGGCATCCCAGAACCCCAATGTGCTCATGACTCACAACCTATGGTTTGAAAATCAGAAATAAAACACAGCAGCCCAGAAGGATGGATGCTGTTAAAAACAGGGTTTAACTGATGAGACAAGAATAAAATTTACACCTTATACTTTATTATAAAAAATGATGGATGGCAAGCTTTAAATCAGGGCTGAAAGACAAAACTGCTTTTCAGTTAAAACTATGTTGATAATGTTTGATAAACTTGCAAAGCTATTTGGTTAAATCAATGCTCCTAAACTCCACTGCTTGTGTCCTGCAACTTGTTTTTGCACGTCTGCTGCAAAACACCCAGCTCTGGTGAGGAGCTTTAACCGTTTGATTCAAGTGACTAAAGGAGCACTTATAAAAATTGCACTAAAAAACTAAATTTTAGATCACTGAGCAACATTAAAACTACTCTTAGCAACTACTCTTTCGCAAAATAGAAAGAAAAAAGTATCTGAAAAGTGTCAATACTGCACAGACCAGGGGCGGATTTAGTAAATTTGGGGCCCTAGGCAAAGACAGGCAGGGGGCCCTCTGAATTGAGAATACAACACATAAAACAGCCCCATTCTACAGATAGAGAAATGTTAATAGAATAGACATCCATTATCTGTTCTAGGTTTTGTCCCTCTCTTCTTGTCCCTTTTCAGCACGATGGAGCTGCTAAATTAAATGTTGAGGGAATCACTGCAATCAGCTGTTTTCTTAAATGTTCAGTCAGATTTCTGCTCCTGTTGACGGGTTGTTGGTGAAATGTTCATGAGCCAGGGGCTCTAATGTGTCTATTACTGTTTTTTTTTAAATCATAGTTTTTAAAATCACAATTCAAACAGCCTTTGGTCAGGCTGTTTTCTCCGTAAGAGCATCTCAGCAATGGAACACAGCGCCAGAAACCATCAGAGACTCTTTGTCATTCTCTTCACTCAAAAAGAATGCAAAAAAAATGGCTTGTAGAGAGCCAAATTTGTGGGCACTAAGGTTTTTAGTGTGTATTTAAATAATTTTACAATATATTTTTAATAATTTTACATACATTTTACTTCTTAACCATAATGTTTTTATGTAATTGGTATTGTAATTTAATCTTGTGATTTTATACTTTATTTTTAAGGTTGCCTTTTTAATATCTGGCTGGGGGACTACCGATGAAAATTAGCACTCCTTAGCTAACTCGAGTATATTTACATTCTTTTAATGTTTATTCATGTACACTGTCCCCTTTCAAATAAACAATAAATTAACAATAAAAATGAAAAATGAACAATTTTGTTGTTTTTATATATATTTTTTGTTTCTTGTTATGAGAATCACTGTTGTGAATTTATCCTTTTCTTTATCGTTAGTGTCTCTAAACTTTCAAGCACAGCTGTATTTATTTACCTTGTTAAATAGAATTCATTTTACGATTTCCAGTCCAAAGAGAGAGAGAGGTGTACAACGGGAAGGAGAGGAGCAAGGTGGAAGGGGAGGAAAAGCAATTACGTTTCGGTACAGAAGACAATAAAGCAGGCAAAACACAAAAGTCACAGATACGATGTGTTGGTGAATAATAGAGTCAGTTATTGACAAAAAGGAAGTTTAAAAAATGTAGAAAATGTATGTAGAAAAAAGTGAGATGTATCTTGCCTGTCCAGACAGCTCCCTGGGTGCTCAGCACCCCTAAACCTCTCATCATAGAATCGCCCCTGGTTGGAATAATTAAATTCTATTCAGTTTATTTCTATAGCTCCAATTCACATCATGTCTTCTCAAGGTACTTTATAGTTCATCCAGTCAGATTGAGTCAAAGCTGATTGCATCGACTGATTGTTCTAATTCATGAGCTGTGTCCTCAGAAGGCCAGGTTCAAAGGTCTGGTCAGATTCCAAGACTCCTCGTTCTATGGCCGACAAATGCGTCCTTCTTTTTGCCCGATTTGAAGGACGGTGTATCCTACCTATCCTTGGGTATCCCAGGATTCATTGCGAGACCAATCAAGCCGGCTGCTCCGTGATCAGAGAAAAAGATACTTGGTGCCGAACATTGGTGAATGTTTGAAGTTCAGTTTAACATAATACAAGTATGGGAATAGTTCTGTCTTTTTTAATGTATATTGAGTCAGATATTTGGAGCTAATGTTTGGTTTATCTAAACATTTTTTTTTCTGTTACTGTGTAAATGGGTTTGGCTGTAAGTGGGAGTGGGGACTATAAATCTGATAGGATTTTTATTTTTTTAATTGTTATTTTGCACAGTTTGATTAACTAATTATTTTTTGTTGTTGTTGAATATAAGAGATTTTGCAGATATATTTTTTATACATACATTTTTTTAGATTTACTTATATTTCTACCCCTTTATAGAATAGAATAGAATAGAATAGAATAGAATAGAATAGAAAAGAATAGAATAGAATAGAGAAATCTCTTAATTGTCCCACACTGGGGAAATTCTGGTGTTTACAGCAGCAAAAAGAAATTTAGAAAAAATGTTTACACAAATGTGGACTTAACATAACATTGCATAATAGTAAAGAGCTAAAAGAAAAAAAT